TTTGTTTGTCTGTCATGTGTTAATAATACCCATAGTAAATGGCTAGAATCATGGTGGCTTAGGAAACAGCTCTTTGTCACACAGCTTGTAAGACCCAGATAACAAACCCAGAAATATGGGCCTGCTCACTTTCCACCGAAGCACGATTATAGGTACAACTGAATGCATAAGCCAAATACATAGCATTCATTCTTGCATTCATTAAGCAGATATTAGGTAAGAACCTACCCTACGGCAGATGCTATTCTTAGTGCTGGGGTACACCAGTGAACAAAACAGACAAAATTCCAATGGAGTGCTGAGAAATATTCAAAACTGACAGGGGAGATTGCTGTTATTGTTAAGTGCTATGGACTCAGTTCTGACTCATAGTAACCTTGTATAGGGTTTCCAAGGACCGGCTAGTGAGTTTGAACTACCGACTTTGTGATTGAAATCAACCTTGCAATCCACTGCTTCATCCCACAGCACCACACCAGGACCTAATCTGTAACATTTTTGTTTCCGTAATGCAAATACTACTATCATGAAAGATTTCAAACCACAGACTTGACATCATTGAACTTGGAATTGGAAAGAGCTATGAAAAATAGATCTTTGTGAGTTTATGAGCTTATTCTACTATTACAAAGTCCTACTCAAATGCAAGGTGTATTCTATTAACGAGAGAAAGACAAGATACTAGTAAAATGCATATTATGACAGGTGCTTAGAAGTGTTATGGAGAAAAAAAAATAAGTGAAAAGAAGGGTATGTATTGTTGCATTGAAAGGTGTAATTCTAACTAGAACATTCAGGAAATCTCTTGAAATGATATTTCATTAAGGCCCTAAGGATGGTGAAAGAGTGGATGAAGGAGGAACATCCCAAAGGTTTGGACAGATATTATAAAGATTTTGTTTTTTTACCTAAGTGAGAAAGGAAACCATGGAAAGGTTTTTCTGCTTGATTGTTGATGGGTTTTTCTGTTGCCTTAGTTTTAGTTAAGAAGTGACATCATCTGACTTAACCTTTTACAAAGATCACACTTGCTGATGTTTGGTGGTGAGCAACGATGAAAACAATTGCAGTTTTTAGGGCAAAGAAAAACAACAAAAACATTGGCAACCTGGCAATGGTAATAATGGAGAGGATAGTGAGACATGGAAGATTCTAGATATGTTTCCCTAAAAAATGATCTGAGAATTTTATTCTAAGGAACTGAAAGTAGGGAATTAATATTTACTGAATAGGAACAATCAGGAATGACCAAAGATTGGGTTTGAAATACGTGCAGTTCAATATACTTATTAACAGAGTTGTATCTATAGGGTGGTGCCATAGGATAAGCACTGACAGCTAACCACAAGTTTGGCAGTTCAAACCTACCAGCCGCTCCTCGGAAAACTTTAAACTGGGTTGTTATGAGTCAGAACTGACTGACAACAGTTAACAACGACATCTAAGGTATGTCATGTATGTCACATGTCCTGGGTAGTACTTGAGGTGGGGGGGCGCGCCTCTGAGCTGTTTGTATATTGAACATCTCAGTTTTTATTGCCAGCTCTGAGAGATAATTCTGCAAGTTTCGAATTTGAGAGCCTGTTCTGACCTTAGGAGTTTACTTCTGCTGTCTTCCTCCACCATCAGCTCACCTTTCCACTTCCTCTCCAATACCCTCCCATCACCTCTTGGCTGCTGCTGCCCCAAAACACAATACCCTGTCCAGAGCTCCTGCTAGCTCCTTGCCCATGCCTCCCATTCCAACCAGCTACTTGGCAAATAGTTGCTTTTCCCCTGAAAAGTTATCTAGATGTTAGGGACTGGTTTCTTCTAATGTAACCGTCTACAGAATTAGAGGAAAAATTACCTGAGACTAGAAAAGGACTAAGGTGATGGGGGTGGAGGTGAGGCACAACACTGGAGAGCTAGTTGGTTTTCTTTTGTTTTCTAAAATGGTCTCTCTTCCTCTCAAATGAATAATTGGGCCCCCAAGGCAGAATTTTGATTGTTGGCCTAATTGTCCAAGATGGTGCAAGCATGATAGGTATTTAAGATGCGTTTGAGATAGTTGGAAAGGCACAAGTTCAGCGTTTACCATAGGTGCTATTTGTAGCTACACCTTTGCTTATTACATCAACGTGGAGATGTAGGTCAGGCATTGGACTTATGAGTATTGTTTCAGATAAAGATTAGGCCTGGAGATATCATTGTGTGAGTTTCAAAAGATTCATGATTATTAAAGCGTTTGGACACCATGGAACACTAGGAAAAGGAATGTAAATGTATTTATTTAACAAACACTTATGGTCCCTTAGGATAAGCAACGCAACTGCTAATCACAAGGTCGCTAGTTCAAATCCACCAGCTGCTCCCTCAAAACCCTATACAGGCTCACTATGAGTCAGAACTGACTGAACAACACTTAATAACAACAACAACATACCCTATCCTGTTCGGTACTTTGCAAGTATTAACTCATTTAATTCTCTTAACAGTTTTAGGAAGTAGGTACTAATCTCAGCCCACCCCATTCCTTGGTGCAAATAAGGAAAATGAAACATAAGAAGGTTAAGTAATACTCCCCAAGTCATAAATAAACTGCTAGTAAGTGGCAGGACTACAGTTTTAGCTAAGGCTGTCTGGATCCAGTGTTCTGGTTAGTGAAGAGAAATGGGGTAAAGGCTGAGGCCTCTGGAACCCCATCAGTTAGAGGGTCAGGGAGATGCACTGTGTCCTATTTATACGGCTAACATGTTTGTCTTCCCCATAGCATTTCTGACTATGCTCAGAGCAAGTACATTTAGCAGATTTTTGTTTCCTTTCTTGGTTTTCTACATTTTCTATAATAAGATCATATTACTTCTAGAATAAGACAAGAATTATGTTAAAACAAAGGAGCTGAAGAATTAGTTTTTGAAACATGTTTCAATGGATGCATGCCATTCTCTGCTTGTAGTACAGCTCAGTGAGGAGATATGATATTTGGTACAGAAAAATTGAAATGGATCTCTCTATTTGGAGTGTTAATAGGGTCACCTTATAATTTGCTGTTCAAACTAGAACAGTTCCTAAGAGCAAAAATTGTCACTATTAACTATACCATGGAAATAAGCTGTAGTTTAAAAAAAAACAGTTTCCATCAAGTCAATTCCATCTCATGGTGATATCATGTGTGTCAGAGTAGAACTGTGCTGCAGAGGAGTTTCAATGACTAATTGTCAATGGTGCCTCCAGGCTGATTTGAAGCTCCAACATTTTTATTAGCAGCCCAGGGCATTAGCTTTTTGCATTACCCAGGGATTCCAGCTTGAGTTAGGACTTTTCTAAACATATCTGTAATATGTATAGGCACTCCAGGAGAACCTTTCTTAAGAACAGTGTTTTTATGAATACAAGAGAGCAGACTGTTATTTATCCCACGCACATTCACAGTGATTATTGCTGTTAGCTAACCATTTGCAGTTAGCTCTAGGTTAAAACCACTTGTTTAATGTCTTTGTTGTTTAATCTTTTAATTCCACTGCTCCTTTGTCAGCTTGTCATACTGTAGTTGTTAGAGTTGCTGTGATTCTGGAAGCTATGCCATCAGTATTTTAAATACCAGCAGGATCATCCATGATGGACAGGTTTCAGCTGAACTTCCAGAGTAATACTGACTAGGAAGAAGGAGAGATGGACTACTTCTGAATATTTAGCTACTGAAAGCCTTCTGAGTAACAGGGGAACACTGTTGGCACCAGAATATTGAATACTGAAGCTTCATGAACAACACCAGAATATTATCAGAGATAGTGCAGGAAGAGGAGCCCCCAGGTTAGAAGGGACTCACAGCAATGGGCTCAAGTATAGCAACGATAGTGAGGTTGGCACAGGATAGGGCAGCGTTTCGTTCTGTTGTGCAGAAGGTTGCTATGAACCAGTACCGACTCGACGGCACCTAATAACAACAAGCCTTTTAATTAACTGCTATTTACAACTAATGTGGCATTGTAGGATCAGCACTGGACTGTGAACCACAAGGTCAGCAATTCAAACCCACCAGGTTCTCCTTGGAAACCCTATACAGGGTCGTTATGAGTTGGAGCCTATTCAAGGGCACTTAACAGCAGTATAGTAGCTTACAACTGGGCATAAGAAAACAAACGGAGTGCCACTCATATGCTATTATATATGTATGTGTTCCAGAGATAGTCTATTTTGGGACTCATCAGTGTTTATGATGATAAATAATAACATAAGATTTCAACTATTTTAATTAAAGCCCAATCCCAAGAATCTGAAAAATAATATACTGAAGATGGTAAGTATAAATGCAATCTAGTAAGAAATTGCATAGAGAATACTACGCAGGTATACCTTGCTTTATTACATTTTGCTTTATTGTGTTTAGCAGACATAGCAGTTTTACAGACTGAAGGTTTGTGCCCACCCTGTGACAAGCATACCTATTGGGGCCATTTTTCCACAGCAGGTGCTCACTTGTGTCTCGTTGTTACATTTTGATAATTCTCACAATATTTCTGTTGTTACTTTGTTAAGCGCCTCAAGTCATCCCGACTCATAGCAACCCTGTATAATGTTTCCAAGGAGCAGCTGGCGGTTTGAACTGTCAACCTTTTGGTTAGTTGCCCAGAGTTTATCCTACAGCACCACACCAGCCCTCCGCTGTATTTTTAACTTTTTTATAATGCTGTTGCCCACATAGTAGACTATGGTATAGTGTAAACATAACTTTTATATGAACTGGAAACTGTGCAACTCACTTTATTAGACGCTCTCTTTACTGTGGTAGTCTGATCCCTAACTCACAATAATTCCAAGGTAGGCCTGTATTTATAAGCATTCTGCAAGTATTCTCTTCATTCCTTTTCTATGTTAAAGTAATTGAATAAGCAAAAAAATTTGTAAGTATTCACTTCTACTTCCTATGCTACTATACTATTATAAAAATACTAGGTTTGGTGTGGAACATATATAAATGAAATGGCAAAATGGAAATACAAGGGAATATACTGTACCTTGTTTTACCTGTAAGGAACACACACCTGACAAAAGGCAATTTTCACATCCAAGGTAGGTTCACTACAGTAGTGTAAGAAATGGAGGCTCATAAATACCTATAAGAAGAAAAAGGGAGCCATGACATTTCCAGATCATCTAATCATTCATTATTTAATCATATAAATTTAATATAATTTTAACCATCCCCAAAATATCATACACAAATTATATTCAACATGTATCCTGACCAGTATTAGGTACTTCTCACAAATTTTAAATATTAAGTAAAATACGGAGAAAATGTCCTATTCTCCTATGATAACATCACAAAGTTAACAGAAACTTAACAGGGTGAAGCTAAACCTAATTAGTTCAAAGTAGTGGTGGTGGTGTGCTGTGGAATCAGTTCCAACTCATAGGGAATCTGTATAAGGTTTCCAAGGCTGTAAATCTTTACAGGAGCAGAAAGCCTCATCTTTCTCCCGTGGAACAATTTCGAACTGCTGGCTTTGACGTTAGCAGCCCAACTCATACCCACAACGCTACCAGAGTCTCTTTAGTTAAAAGTAAGCACATCTATTATGCAGCAATTTCATTCCAGGCATCTAATGCTCAAGAGGGTATACGTCATGATATTTATTATGGAAAGAAGGGACTCAATAAATAAAATATGATTTATAGTTGAATTCTACAAAGTAGTTGAAATTGTTAGACTAGAACTTTTGTATCAGCAGAAATATATTTTTCACGCATGATGTTGAATGGATAAAAAAAGGCAAATGTAAAGGGAATGAAGATTTCCATATTATCAATGTAAAAATGTTAAATACACAAAAAATTAATATACATTGTTTTTAAGTGCATGTAATTCTAAACTTAAGAAAATCAAGCTGTAGTAAAAGCAGTGGGACATATTCATATACAGAACAATCACGTTTTTGGTCTCTTTGTTTCTAGGGATACTAGTGTTCAGTTCAAACTGACTTTGCAGTCCAGGGCATTAACCCACAACATCACACCAGGACTCCACCACTTATAGCATGTGTTGGCATTTGGTGCAGATATGTGTGGTTGTTTGTAAGTGAAGAAATGTTCAGTGGCACCAAATAACTGTTTAATGATTATTATATGAGCTAATGGAATACCTGTGTGGTACTGTAGGATAGGTAATGGATGGCTAACAGTAAGGTTGGCAGTTCAAACCCACTAACCACTCCTTGGAAACTCTATACAGAGTCACTATGAGTCAGAACTCACTCAGTCACACTTCACAACAACAAAATATGAATGAGGAATGCATCTCAGAGGTGTGATTGTGTAAAATCATTGTCTTTTGGCTTTTGAATTGTGAGGTCAGCCTTGTAAGAATATGTACGGAGTCCTGTGTGGATTTTGAAAGTGTGTTTATGGTGATGGTGGAGTTTTTAGGTGAGTAGCTTATTTTCAGGTGGAATACGTTATAAAGGAATACATTTTGTGATGTACATGTACTGGACATTTATTATAAATCTTTGAGTTTTTATTTTCTGTTTTATGAGCTATAAGTAGTTCTTTGGTGATAAATACAAATTCATTGTACTAGTATGTTTTCAAATTCCTTTTGTTTTCTTTGTTTTTACAGGAGTCTTGAATTATGCTATTTCTCCCTGTGAATTTTCATATTTGTTTGGAGGTGCCTTTGACTCAGTTCCGACTCATAGCAACCTTACACACAACAGAAGGAAGCTCTAGCCAGTCCTGAACCATTCTCACCATCGTTGTCACCCTTCATCCCACTGTTCTTGTCACTGTGTTGATCCATCTTGTTGAGTGTCTTCTTCTTTTTCACTGACATTCCATTTTACCAAGCATGATATCCTTCTCTAAGTATATATCCAAAGTATGAGAGTCAAAGTCTAGCCACCCTGTCTTCTAAGGAGTAGTCTGATTGTACTTCTTCCAACACAGATGTATTTGTTCTTCTGGCAGTCCATGGTATTTTTAATATCTTTCTCTAGCACCATAATTCAAATGCATAAATTCTTAAACAGCCTTCTTTACTCATTGTCCAACTTTCACATATACATAAAAAGACTGAAAATACCATAATTTGGGTCAAGTGTACCTTAGTCCTCAATTGATATCTTTGCTCTTTAAAACTGTAAAGAGGTCTTTTGAAGCAGATTTGCCTAATACAAGATGTCTTGTGATTTTTTGACTGCTGCTTTCATGAGTGTTGTTTGTCCGGTAGTGAGGACTATTATTCTTTACATAGCAGTACAATGAAGGCTGCGGTTGTTGATCTTCATCAGTAAGTATTTTAAGTCCTCTTCACTTCCATCAAGCAAGGTTGTATCATCTGTATATTGCAGGTTGTTAATAAATCTTCTCCAATCATGATGCCATGTTTTTCTTTATATAACCCAGCTTCTCAGATTATTTGTGTAGTATACAGATTGAATAAGTATGGTGAAAGGACACAACCTTGGCACACACCTTTCCTGATTTTAAACCATTCAGTATCCTCTTATTCTGTTCCAATGATACCTTAGTTTATGTGCAGGTTCCTCATGAGCACAATTAAGTGTTCTGGTATACCCATTCTTTGCAATGCGATCCCTAGTTTACCATGATCCACACATTTGAAATCCTTTGCTTAGTCAATAAAGCACAAGTAAACTTCTTTCGAGTATTTTCTTCTTTTGGTCAAAATACCTTTGATGTCAGCAATGATATCTCTAGTTTCACATCCAATACCAGTCCATTTCAGTTGAGGAATGCCTAAGATATCTATCTTTATGCGTTCAATTTCATTTCTGACAGCTTCCAATTTTCCTAGATTCATGCTTCCTACAGTCCATGTTCCAATTATTAGTGGATGTTTGCAGCTGTTGCTCCCCATTTTTAATTGTGTCCCATCAACAAATAAAGGTCCTGAAAGCTTTGCTTTCATTCATGTCATTATGGTCAACTCTACTTTGAGGAGACAGCTCTTCCCCAATTATATTTTGAGTGCCTTCCAACCTGAGGGGCTCATCTTCAGGCACTATATCAGACAAGTTCTGCAGCTATCCCTAATGTTTTCATCTTCTGGCACTATGTCTGACAATGTTCCACTGCTGTTCATAAACTTCTCATAAGCTAACCATTCAGAAGTAGTCTGCATCTCCTTCTTCCTTGTCTGTTTTAGTCTAGAAGCTCCACTGAAACTTGTCCACCATGGGTGACCCTGCTGGTATTTAAAATACCGGTACCATAGATTCCAGCATCACAGCAAACACAAGTCACAACAGTATGACAAACTGACGAACTGTTTGGAGACATTGTTGTTGTTAAATGCTATTGACTCAATTCTGAGTCATAGTGATCCTGTACAGGGTTTCCTACAAGTAGCTGGTGAGTTTGAACCACCAGAATTGACTCAATTCTGACTCATAGTGATCCTGTACAGGGTTTCCTACAAGTAGCTGGTGAGTTTGAACCACCAACCTTATGGTTTGCAGTCCAGTGTTTATCCTACAACTCCACACCAGGAGTCCATGTTTGGAGGCACAGTATTGGCATTATCTTAGTTTGGAAGGACCTGAAACTCTTTTTTTCTGAAACATCCTCCTTTTTAAGAAATGGACTCATTGAAATACAAAGGAAATCTGAAGAATGCAGAGTTTACAAATTGGGCTGCGAACCTTAAGGTCAGCAGTTCGAAACTATCAGCTGTTCCGTGGGAGAAAGATGAGGCTTTCTACTCCTGTAAAGATTTACAGCTTTGGATACCCTGTACAAGGTCACTACGAGTCGGAACCAACTCCACGGCACCTAACAACAACAACAACAACAACCCTAGAATAAGGAGGAGTGTGAGGAAAATGCCTCAGATGAGCTTTCCTGTTTGTGGACCTAAAAGCTCATTTTGATGTTAACAACAAAAACACTAATTAGACCAGGATAAAGCAAGCAATGTGATAATGAAAGTGTTGAACCATATGATGATGCTTGTGTCTCCTATTTTAAAACTATAATGAACTGACTTCAGCAATATGGCAAAGCTGATTCAGACTTGACCAATGAAGATCCAAAAGTAGAATATGTTTGCTTCCAATTACTGAAGAGCTCTTGGAAATTATAAAGAAATAAACAAATCATTCTGCAAGCCAGGAGTTCACAAGATGATAGAGGGCAGGAGATTAGAATGCCAACTAAAAACTGGCAGCTATAACCATAGAAGAAATAAAGACCTTCATTGCTACGCACATATCGATGGTACATGTCTTGTCATAGCTCAGATATTATTGAAGCAGTGACCCCTTTTGGGTGTTACTTGGGCTAAATATTTATGTCTACAAAAAGTATGAAGAAACTGACCTAGTAATTTTACCTAATTGGTAAAATTACACAATTCACAAATTTTACCAATTACCAGTGCTTTCAATAGCTGCCATTCTTGGGTTGTTTATCAGTGGAACAATGCATGCTCATGATGCCTGTTGAGCAGGAGTATAAAATTTGGTACTTGGCTGACTCATGGCCTGCCTTTGTAAATCAGTTTGATATCTATTGGAGTAAAAAGGTGTAGACGATGACTTCTTTCACCCTCGGTGTACAGTGTTATACTTGGACTATGTCATTCATGTAACCAATCTCATAGGCTTCTTGCCTTTGGCAAGTTTTACACATCCTACCACTTGATGAAAAGCCTGTATTAAAAGGAATTGTATGCTCTAGCCATCAAACCAAACCAAACTCACTGCCATCAAATCGATTCTGACCCCTATATAGGGTTTCCGATAGTGTACATTTTTATGGAAACAGACAGCCTCATCTTTCTCCCTAAGAGCTGCTGGTGAGTTAGAATGGCTAACTTTGAGGTTAATAGTTCAGTGCTTATCTCACAGCACCACAATGGCTCCTGTGCTGTAGACACAGTGTGAGCTGATAGAAAGGGACTATCAGAAATGATGAAAAGGAAAGATAAACTAGACCAGAAAGAATTTATGTCTCATATCAAAAAAGGTGTGTCAGCAGTAAAGTGGCAAGACAGTACACCTTGACAGTACCATCAGCGTTCAACAATTCAGAGGACAGCAGAATGAACAGAGGGTTCTACCTAAGTAGAGAAGTTGCAGAATATCACACGATT